CCCCGATAACCCCCAAGCTCACTCCGTCAGGTAACGTGAGGTAAAGAACGAAGCTCCCTCACGAGGAGCTTTTGTGACAAGTGTACAGCTTCAGTCTAGAACCTCGAGACTGAAGATTTGAGGAGCAACACCCCAACTAACCCAGTCGTGCGAACACATCGCAATGCTCTTTGGATCCTGCTGACACCGCTTTCCGCATTCTGCAGCAGCATCGGTATGAACGTCTCCACTTCCAGGATTTGTGCAGATTCTTCCATCAGAAGGTTGTCCTCGCTTGTGAAAGTTGCTTTGCAGGAACCCCTAATTGTTGCGTGAAAAACTCGGCAATCGCGCTTAAGCTGCATTCAGCAACAGGGGCTCAGCATAAAGTGCGATGTGCAAGCCCCAGTCTCCAGTCATGTACGTGGATTAGCCATCCCACGACAGTGCTGCTTGCAATCGAGCATCGTACTTGAATGACAAATTCACCAATGTTGACCTGTTTGCAAAGAGGTGGGCATCTCGCGCAAGGTGCACGCCAGATACAGTCCCAAACTGACAGCCGTGTCTCCTTTGCTCCACATTACCCGATGTCTTGCTGCGCAAAAGTTACCATGACCATGATCGAACTGACTGCGCTGGAATGCAACATGCCCGCTCGGACGCGGAATGCAGAGAAGTCAGCGGCTGCGCCTTGTAAGAGCAGCGTGGGTGCAAGTCATCGCAATGATTCGAGCGTGCGTTGTGATCAGGTAGTCACCACGATCATGGCCTTGCAACTACTGAAAGCCGGCAATGCAAGCAGACATAGAAGCAAAATATGGGCAGGACTTCGATGTCTTGCCACTGGGAAGCCGTTCCGCAAAAGCTCGAAGGCACGGCATTCCTCAATCTCCCTGAACATATTCTCGAAGTACCTCGGTATCCGACCACGTGCTAGTGGCTGTTCTCTAAAGAAACTCCAAGTCTGAACATGTGCCAGCTGGGTGGGCAGTTGGACTTCAGCCGTTTGCACGAATTGCACGAATCGACGAATCAGGCCCTTTGATCACATTCACTGAGCCACTGCGTCAGCACTTGCTACGTTCAGCTTGGGGCAAGAAACACGACGGGGATTGAGCTGGGTAAGCCGGACAGGTGTGAATGCAAGCTCGCTGCTGGCGTGTCGGGCTTCCACCAAAAACTGTTTCGAGCTTTTCCACGTTTTCGGGTGACAAGGAGATGCTGAGCGCTTGGATGCGCTGAGTTATCGGATGGCTTAAGCATCTGGAGCTTGCCGCGTACTACGTATAGTACTGTAAGAAAAACTACGGAGTTAGCGAGGCAAGTCGGTGAGTGGAGAAGTGAAATCTTCAGTAGCTCAACCCTTCCCGAGCTCAACGGGCTTTGATGCATGCAGCTCATGCATCAAGAGCCCCGGTCGAACTTGCCCAAGAGAGAGGGAGAGAGAGAGAGAGAGTATACATGCAACATACCGACGTCTCTCAATCCTCTCCACACCCGAATGTTGGATAGCCTAGAAAGTACTCACTCTTGTTTAGCCAGTGCTGCCAGCAGGCCGGAAGCAGCCTTCGGCAATTTCTAGGTCTGCTTCGTGGGACTCTGACGGGAAAAGTGGTTGAGGAGCATCCGCAAAGAACTTTGTGAAAGGAAATAAGACACTGATCACGGTCTTCTGGCCACTCAACAGCCTCAGCTAAGGCTTGAAAGTGGAAACGCTGCCTACTGAGCCTAAAGCAGCGTTGTGCTCACCAACGTGCACCATTATGCGGAACTGGCCCTGCCAAGGGATCAAGTCACTGCTCACGTATCCTTTTCACCTCCTCGCTGTTCTCGTCTTCATTTTGCCTCAGACAGCAGAACCCAACAAAGACCTCAGCGGCACAAACTCTCCGTGTGCCTGCCATCTGCTGCCTCCGCTGCCTTGAACCAAACAAATTAGAATGCGAGATGAAGCGCAGTGGATGCGCAATTGCGTGGAGTCTAAGCACAAGTGCAAAGTTGCGAAAAGATCCGCAACGCAGGGACTGCAGCGGCCTCTTCGTCGAGGCGGCGCTTCTTCGTCCCGGCCTTTCCCAGAACCTCTGCAGAGGACGGGTGCAAGGTGCAAGATGTGCAAAGCTCCGGGGTACCTGTATGTATCAGTCTTGGAATGTCTTCAGTCTCTAGCACCGTCGTCAGAACAGTGTCATCCCACATCCATATCCGTGCATAAGAGCTCCGAGCCTTGTGGATGTTGGCACCGTTTTTGCCAACTATGCCCAGCTTCTTGTGGAACTCTTCCCACCGGTACCGCACATGGTGCAGAAAGAAATGCTGCGCGTTTTCGCAAGTGTAGGCCACGTCCTCAGACTTCGCTACCACGGATTCTAGCAGCGGTGATCTGGAGCAGGCATTGAGTCTTGGGTCGAATCTCGGGTATGCAAAGTCCATCGAGGCCGGGCTTTTTCCGGCATTTACACAGTGGAGTGCAATGGAGTGCATGTGTTGCAATTCGCTGGGGTTTCCCAGATTAGCCCGACAGACTTCTTCTTTGGTTGCAGCCACAAGTTGACATGCTGATAGTGCTGCTTGGAACCGATGGGCCAATCAAGTTCTGAACTGAGGGCACCAGCATGTAACAGCACAGGTTGGTCCAGGACGTGTCTGATGTGGCTTCTTTGCTTCTTGACCTTTCTGCCTCATCTGCTACATAGGCTACTCTCGCAGGAACATAGCTGACCGTCTTAAGCCACACGAGGTCTCACTCCTTTCGCAGACTCGCAGCAACAAAGGAACGAAGGAGACAAGGCGCGTGCGTGTGTCTGTTGACGGCGATCTAACGTCGGTGTACTTCAACTGCCATGAAGGCTTTATGCATAGCTTGACAAAGCATACCACGATCTACTCTCTACTGTTATTTGAGTCGGAGAATGTCGGAGTATTCAGATGAAGCTAGAGAAATCACCTGCTTGATCACTACCCCGAGCTTCTTTCGAGGCTGCAAAGCTCGTGAGTTTGGGGGGTGATGATGTGGGGCGAGATCGCTAGTCCGTTCTAGCAGTAGTCTTCCGGCAAACTACCAGCGGAGATTCTTGTTGAAGGAGACTGCGAGGATAGACGGGTTCGCACATTGCTGCTGATGCTGGCCGCGGTGGCTTTGCTGATGTGACTATATTATTGGGTACATTGACACTGGGCCCTTTCCGGCACATTTCGACAACTCCAGTCTCTGACGATGCATTCATGCAAGCCAGGCGTCCTGTCCAGAGAGACCGAAGGTGTCAGCCAATCGCTCTACTTTGGCCAACAGATCTATTCGGCGCTTCCTCAGGGCTTCTCATGGTTACCCCCGTCCAACCACTCGCCGCTCATCCGACTAAGCTCTGGCCCTCCTAGAAGTGCTGAGGCCACGTCAACATGTGATTGACTCGACCCCACTTGGAGAAGTCTTGCTTCGCATCCAGCTCCTGAAATGGCGGGAACAGAATTATCCAGGGACCTGGAAGCGATAGCTTCCAGCATTTTCTGAACTCCGAGCGCCTCAATCCCGCGACCCAGTCTGAGCAGGTAGCGCTCAGGGATGTCAAGAGCTACGATTTTCTCGAACAGATCATTGAGGGCTTGGTTGGAATGTGCCACGAGCACGATCTTCTGGTCTGGGAAGTTGTGGAAAAGCAGGTTCACAACCTCAGTTGGACCACAAGAGGCTGCACAAAGGTCACCTCCCACATGCTTTGCTTGAAACTGAATGCTTGCCAGTTCCGCCTGCACGGCGGTGTCGGTCTTGCCAGTTCCAGGAGGTCCCACCACCATGGTCAAGCCAGGGTTCACGCCCGACCGGATAGCCTCCACTTGCACGGGCGTGAAGCGGATCGAGTTCTCTCGCGGCCTGACGTCAGTCACCTAGTCCTGCAATGCCCGCCTCGGAGGCTATCGCTCGCTGAGCTCCCGGCATGCACTCTGGGTACGGGCCCATGTTGGGCAAAGTGTACGCCGAAGCAATCACTCCTGGCTCGTGCATCTTGGAGTTGTTGTTTTAAAGATTTCGCTGGTGTTTCCTTCTAAATAAAATCCTCGCCGAGAGTCGTTCCTGTGGCCTCTTGGAGCTCAGAGTGCTGGCACCGCCTGTGCCCTTGACTGCTTCGAACTTCAACTTGAAAGGCCTCTTCAAGTCCTCCGGCACATCGATATCTTCAGCGTCGGGAAAGGATTCCTGAAAGGACTGCAATACTACGGCTACAGTGTGCGTGACAGTTGGTCGCACAAGTGTCGTGGGAAAGAATCACAGAAGCATCAAGGCGCCAGTATGTGGTCTTCGTCCAGGAAGGTGTCTCCTAAGACAACTCTCAAAGCAAGCAAGATCAGAGCCTGGGTGTTCGTTGCAGGATTGGTTTCAACTTTTGAAGATGCCTTGCATCTCTGCAATGCCTTGCTGCCTTGCGAACAATACAGGTACTTTCGATCGCGTGTTCAATCTGCTTTGTGCGCCCTGCCCGGCATAACGTCCCAAGGCCGCAAGGCGACACTTGCAGAAAAGCGTCTGAAGTCAATTTCACTAAGCGTGGTTGGAAGCTTCCAGTACTGAGCCGCTCCGGGGTCTCCGTATCCGAGGAAGAGATCATGGAGCCAGTCCTTTGCTCTGAGCTCTGCGCTCTTTGCTCCGCCACATGTGCAAAGCTGGGTGCTGCTGAGCTCGCTGCAGGTACAACTGTGTCCTCATTGTTCATCAGGCTCCTGCAGCCACGGTAAGACCTATGCAGATTATCCAGCAGAGCCAGACCAGTCTGTGGAGATCTTTGCTGCAATCTACAGCGAACGTTGGATAGCATGAACGTCCTGATCGTGTGAAGGATGGCCTTGAAGTTGTTCTCCTTCCTTGTATTGTAGCACGCTCAGAAGCACAGCACCGAGCACCACCTTCTCAGCATCAGCCACAACTCAGCGCCAAATCTGACACTTGGCGGAAATTTAGCAGTTTGCGAAGACATGGCTGGGAGTTCAACCATGGGGTCTCAGAATTGAGTGCAGCCCACATGGCACATTCCTGCCCGCACCGGTCGGCTTTGAGACATTCAGGGCTGACTAAAGACATACGAACATGGTACTTTCGACGGCAGGCTCAAGCTGACCTCTGTCAAAAGAACGCTCTTGACTCTTGACGTGAAGTGTCGCGAAGAACTTGCTTTACACTTACACTTTTACACATTCCTTCTTACGGCGGAGCTCGCACTTCTTTCAGCAGTCGTTTCATTCTGTCTGCTTTCAGCATGGTCCACACAAGTTCTCCCTGCCCCTTCTTGCAAGCTTGACTCGGCTTGCGGCGCAGGACGAGGTTCAAGTTGCTGTAGATCTCGGTCTTCCCAGACGCCATCGCCTCCAAGTCCTGCGCATTGGGTGCGGCTTCAAGTAGAATGCGACACTAACGCACACACAAAGCCAGCATATGCGGAGATTCTTTCAGACGACACCTGTGAAGTAGCTGTAAAGCTGCATTCACGCTTCGCCGGTCCACAACTACAGTACATGGGCAAGTGGAGATCGATGTGCTGTTTAACCTTGGAGGCACATCCAGGTCAGCACGAAAGCCAGGAAAGCACACACATCATGGCAACTTGCACGAAAGAAGGCATGACACGAACCGTTCCAAATCAAAATGGCACTCACACACCCACACACACACACACACTGTGCGGTCACAGACCCGAAGCGGTGACGGGGGCAGGGTGGTTTCAAGGACAGTGGAACATCAACCAGCGCAGCTGACCTTGAGGGCATCCCATTTCCGTCAGTGATTTTTTTACCCACCACTCAAAAAATGGCCCCTCCTTCTTCACATCTGGGTCAAAGGTGCCTTTCTGCTGCAAGGTCCACTCTGTGAGGATGTGATTGTTTCCTGTTTGAGATTCTGGGCCGGTCCAAAGTATGAGGAATCTTGGCCAGCAAGTGTGAGCGGCCGCTCGTCGACTTGAAAACTGAAGTTCATTGGGGTAGTTCGAACCGAATCTGTCATGCGACCATGAACTTTCCCTGGAAACTCAGATGAGTCCAGTGCCCATGTCCTGATGGTACTGCGCAGGGTCCAAAATCACGCGTGCTACTCGTCCGTCTCCAACGGGAGTCTTGCGCTCTGCAGGGTTCGGATCGCTGATGACATTGCCTGGCATGAGAGCAGACACAGCCTAAGAGGGCCTAAGAACGAATGCCGACTCTCACACCTTCGTCGTCAAGCAGCTCTGTGATCTCCTCGGCTCTCAGATTTAACGCGCGCCCTGCACTCAGTTTACGAGGCAGAGACTGCTCCGCGCACGCTCACGACACCTCGGACCATGCCATGGTGAACCGAGCTGAACACACGATCCGATCGGAGAGGCTGAGTTGCAGGCCGAACTTCTCTGGAAACTCCGCCACTGTGAGGTCGGCAACCCGGCCATCGTAGGGCTCCTCTGGTGCTTTGATCCTGGTTTGCAGCAAATGGCTTTCTGCCACATGCGCCTCAAGCTGCGACCGGGTGCCTGATCAGGAAGATCACATCGTGCTCTCTCAGCGTATCCCATTCTTCTCGGATCTGCCTCGTGTGACAAGTGGGAAGCAGCCGATGAGTTGCAAAGAAACTTCATGGGCATGGATTCTCCTACTGATAGACTGGATTGGCCGGGGAATGGAAACAGCAGGGTTTCTTGTATGTACAGTTTTATCCGGCGACCCTGGCGGTCAGAAGCTGTGTTCCACCACTTCGTTTGCTGTCCCGAACCCCGTTGGGCCGGCGATCGTCGCCTAGCGTTTCCATCTCTCTGCGACAGTGCGTTTTCGTGATGCATGCCCCTCAGACTCCTGTCAATGTAGTAAAGCCTAATGCATGCCCAACCCCTCCGACCCCTTCAGACCCCCCAGCGCCCATTTTTCCCTCCCCTCCCCCTGCGTCCAGTGCCTCCTGTCAATGAAATGTTTTTCGCAGTTTAGTTATTTGATTGAAGCCCAATGCATGCCCAACCCCTCCGACCCCTCCAACCCCCCAACGCCCACTTTTCCCTCCCCTACCCCCTGCGCCTCCGTAATTTAGTAGGAATTTAGTTATTCTAGGGGCTGCGCCTACGGGCGTGTAGCGCAGGTAGAAGCCTGGAGCAAGGCCACCCCCCCCCTCGCCAAACCCCGCTGATGCTAATGATGCGCGCCCGTCGGTGTCCGCCGAACCCCGCTGATGCTGACGATGCGTGCCCATTGGGGGCTTCCGCAACTCACTCAAAAATTTGCAAAACATCGCCTGGCCCTCACTGGGCTGCTGCGGGCACGCAGGGTGTCCATGATGCTCGCCGGATGCCCTCCCGGGGTGTTCCGCGAGGCCTCCGGGCGAGGTCCCGCACCTGGTGGATAGACGAATGATGCGAATGTGATGCGAGGCCGAGCCCCTGCACGGAATTGAATTTGCGTCGGGACTTGTTTAATATCCCCTTCGGAAACCTTAAGCAACAGATTGCAACAGGGTCCTGGCTTGCGCACCGACTTGAGGCCCGGACGGCAGAACTCCCGTCAAGGACCAGCGGACTTCTGCCCGGACTTCCGATGGAACCTCCTCTCCTACTTTGGGCCTTTTCACCTCAGCAGTCAGATGCTCGCCAGATGGCTAAGTCCTTGCTGGAGGACGGTGCTGGCATGGGGCGTTCATGACTTCCAGCCCGCCCAGAGGCACCATCATCCGTCCGGAGCCGGAGAAATGAGTGCCACCGTCTTGATCGGCGGAGGCTTTCATCCTGCAGTTTGGAGAAGCTGACTTCATGCCAGCACGGCAATCTTGAACTGCACCTGGGGATTTGATCTTGAAGGTCATCTCGTATCTCATGCGTGGACTCCAGTCTGAACAAATTGAAGTTTCGCAGCAGGTAGTCCTTAGCAACGCTGTGAATTGTGATGAACTCTGATCACACCCTTCCAGACTCAACCTCTGTGATGCCGTGCGTCGTGTATCGTGAGGAACTGCAGATTGAGCTTGGGCAGGGCCAGAGTGTAGTCACCTGTCCAGGTCAGGAGGTTCTGGCAGCTCACCTCTGCAAGGACGCTGGCCTGAGTAGTGTTCTTCTGGGACAAGATTTGGATCCCAAATCAGGTCCTCCGTCGGGTACAAAGGCATCTTCATCACGTCATCTTGCCTCGCAAATGATACCACATCACCGGGACTCAAAGCTGTGTCAGCTCAGCGTGTGCTACTGCAACTGCGCAGCTGCATCACCGGACGTTCCAATCGGTTGACAAGAATTTCCACGAGAAGCTTGCAGATCCGCTCTTCTTCCTCTGTCTTCACCTCAGCTTGCAAGAACACACACCTCCTTGCAACGCCGAAAAGGAGAGCAGAGCTGCCTTCTTTCTCCGCTTCTTCTTCTTGGGCTCTGCGGCCTCTTTCTCGGCCTCCTGGGCCTCCTGTGCTGCCATCGCATCGCGCACCTCGCAGAGGCGTGCACGGGCAGGGACGGACGCGCGCGATGCACTGCTCCGCGCCGGCCCGGAGCACCTTCTGCTCCATTGCTGCCAGCGTGGTATCCCGGGAGACCTAAGCAGTGCCACATCTTCGATCGAACTCCAAGGTGAGCACCGACATGCGCTCGTGAATTGCTGCGATTGCTGCGAGGCCACTCGAGGTGCAGGTCGAAGTGGCAACGGTAGGGGCATGCTCGGCATACTCTTCGACATGACGGACACACGACAAAGACTGCACATGCACAGAGTCACCAACGGCCGAAGGACAGGGCCAGAAGCTTTCGAAACAGATGCAGAACGGTGCTGGACTTTTCCAATCATAGATGTGCTTGGCCGTTTTGGAAACAGCAAACAGCGTGGTTAGGTGTCAAGGGATTTGGGGTGTGGTGTGCGCCTTAGTTCCTGCTTCGGCTCACGGCCTGTGCTTTTGTACGACAACCGCAGCGCACGGCAGGCAGAGGGTGGGTTTGCTTGATGCAACTTCTAGCTCCACGCGCTTCGGCTGAATCGCGCTTCTGAACACAAGCGATGACCCGGGACTTGCGCGGCACGCTTTTCGGGAGTGCGACTACCAAAATTGAAAGCTGCAATCTGTAATCTATCGTCACTGCGGAATTCAGAACTTCGCATTTCAATCAAACTCCTGTATGAGACACAACGAAGGATCAGTCCTTGCCCCTTCTGAACGGACAGATGGCGAATATGTCTCTTGTATGAAGGTGTGGGGTGTCTTTTGTTCACGAGGGTCGCACAGATGCCGGAACTCTTGTGCTAACGATGTTACCTCCTGTTTAGCCTGCGGCACCGATAGTTGTCAAGCACCCCTGGGTTTGGTTCTGCACGAAGAGGCAGCAGACAGGGCCCGCAAAGAATCACAAGACAATAATAAATCCTGAAAGCCTTGTTGGCCTAGGAAACTCGAAACCCCGATACCACGAAAAAACTGCACATCTTAAAACCATAAACGACTACAAACCTGGGCTTCGGCGAACCCTAAAGTCCCTAGAGCGCGCAGAATAAAAGCGCTACACACTAACAAACTTGCACCCCAAAAAGCAATTCTCCTGCAAAACCCTGAACTCTCGCAACCACATGCCTTACGTCCCACCCGCTAGAGACCTTACACCAAACAAGCGAACCCACTACGAGTGCTTGAATCGCGCTGTTAAATCGGGTGCTCTTGAATTTACAATGCTCTGCCTGAGCCATTGCACTGCTCGGTGTGGCCAGAAATCCTGAAGATTCAACAGGCAAGGCAGATTTAAACTCGTGTTGGTTTTGTTGTGCGGTCACGTGGTCATTGTCGTATTCGAGGAAAATTATGAAGCAAACGATTGCGCAAGTGAAATTGCGGAAGAGAGAGTGAACATGATTCGTCAAGCCGACAACGGTGGATCGATTGGGCGGCCTACCGTGTATGTATACACGCGTGCATGTGGGTTTATATGTACATATGCATGCATGGATGGATGGATGCATGGATGTGCCTGTGTGCTGGTGTTTCTGTATCTGTTTTTATGTGTATATATATATACATATGTACATGTGTATATACATACACGTACATACATACATACATACATACATACAGACAGACAGACAGACAGACAGACAGACAGACAGACAGACATATAAACATATATATATATATACATAAACATATATATATATACATACATACATATATACATTTATACATATATATATACATACATACATATATACATTTATACATATATATATAGATATACACATATATACATATATACACGTACACATGTATATATACATAAATATATATAAATGTATATACATACATGGGTGAATATAAAATCATCTAATGCAGGGTGCACCCATTTTCCTGCCCTTTTCCTGCCTCGACCTGCTCTGGCCTCATTTATTGGTGTGTTTTCTGTGGTTCTGGGATGCTAGTCCAA